TGTGTGTGTGTGTGTGTGTGTCCGTTTCTGGGAAGGCGAAGGGGGGCATTTAGTTCCAAACAGAAGATGATATCGACGGGGACGTGGAGTGTTTGAGGCGAAAACTGTGTGTTCGTTCTGCGAAATTGAAGGAGGTTTTTTTTTTCTCTTGTTTTTCTCGACTTCGCCGGTTGCTTTTGGTTTTTGCGTGCGAAGTACACGTGTATCGAGCGAGGAGGAATGTTTGGATTTGCATGTGGTTTTCTTACCTTTTTGCTAGCTTGGGATGCATGAGTGAGCGTGGGCAACTCAGGGCAGCGATGTTTGAGACAAAACCAGAATGGGGTGAAAATCAGACATGTCCGCTTGATGCGCAAACAACGTGTTCGTCTTGTTGGAAGGAAGCAAATTAGGGATGCACTATTTTTCGTCTTTTAAATATGTCGCAGGCCGCTTGATGCAGGATCTGGATATATTGCACATACATAGGTAGAAAGCGCTTCATCTTGTATATGGTGATGCACGATAATTTTCCCTTTTTTTCCTCCCCTTTTTTCCACCACCTGCGCGGCGCTTCGTCGGAGCCGGAGCCGGAGCCACGGAGGGTCGGCATATCGGTGGCCGGAAGTTACCGTCGAAGACCGGGGGTGTGGATTTTTCGTGGCCGGCATCAAGTTACAGTGGTGTGGGCGCTGAAGTTAGAACGCAGTTGTAGCAGAGTTATAGGGGGTTTGGGGGGAAGGAGCGAGCCTGTCTACCTTAGTTATTCGCAACTTCTAGAACACGGCAGCTTGGAACACTCGACCATGCTGTGATCTAGATTGCATTGATCAACTTGAACAGCGCATATAGTGTCCTGCAAACCATTGCTACATCTGTTACTAGATTTTCATTTTCTTGAATTCATTCCAAGGTCGTTGTACCGTGGAGTGTCCCCGCTGAGCCTTGACGCTCGCCGCAAGGCCGACATTGCAGGGCGCAACGCCACCCTAACTGCAGCACAGGACACCGAGAGCCACGGCCGATCTCGTCAACGTGTCCCGGGCCGGAGACATCCGCACCGGTCACCCCTCTGGGCTTCACAGATCGGCGGTCCGATATTCAACAGAACAATATTCTACCAAGGTTCTATCTACTGATCACTGCTGGCCTCTTCACTGTGGTTACATGCAGAACGGTGCCTGGTGGCAGCGTTCGACTGGGCATCCGCCAGGTTCACGCGCAACCCTTGGCTAATTCGCCCGCCCGCTCGACGCAAGCAGTACGCATCAAAGTCTTATTCACCGGACCTCCTATTATTTGGGACGAATACATGGTGCATCAGGTGTCTAAGCCGCAATCAAACCTTAAAGTGCAAGATATCAGTGAATGGCAGCGGATGTCCGATAAAAAAGGTTGGAAAGGCACAGGACTGGAATACAAATTCCCCCGCTCTGGACCAAACGTCCATCTTCTTTTTTTTTTTTTCCCTTTCATCGATATTTCGACAGAAGACCCCCAAGAAACACTTGCGAAGACCAACATTCCAAAGCATCTGCACAAGAAAAAATTATTCTATACCTCCACAGTATTTCTGTCCGACCTCGGTATTATCGATTACCTCCTCTTTCTCACACCTCTTCGCTCTTCCTCCGGCGAGACTCAAACGACTTAACATCACTTGGACAACAACTCCACGACGACTTGTTTACCCGTCGCTATTTCTACAATCTTCGAACAATATCGTCTAGCCAACAACGCTACGTCACTTCAAACAACCGACAACATGTCCTACTCTCCTATCTGCAAGATGTTGTTCGAGCTCAAGCACAAGGGCCAGCCTCACTACATCCGGAAGAGGCAAAAGTAAGTTGTGTCCACATGGCTTTGTTTGGAAATCAATCAGTTGCTAACACAAGCTAGGAACGCCAAGCCAACCGGGTTGACAGTAGCACAACGACAGATTGCCGCCCCTCCAGAGGGTGGCCAGCCCGCCTCCCCCCTTTACCAATTTTTCGACATCTCACAGTACCAGAATGACTGGAAACCAACGATTCGTCAGATCATGGACCGCCCCGAGTACGGAACCGAATACGTCGAACTTGACAACGGATTCTGGTACCTGCTGGAACTAGACGGCTCCTTCACCCACATGACAGACCACGAGTTCCAAGACTTTTTGAAGTGGAAGAAGGAACAAGAGGCCGGGGAGAATGGGGGAGGAGACGACAACGACTTGGATACATCAATGGAAGATTGGGATGGCGAGGGCGAAGATGCCCCGGATCCTTCGCTCTCCATGCTGAACTCGGAGATTGAAGCCCTCGACGCCGAAATGAAAGATTTCGACTCTGAACTCAAAAGGTCCAGCTAGGCTATGGACCCCGACGAGGAGGTCGATCACGATGACGACGAGGACGAGGAGGATGAACCAAAACTCACAATCCGCCGTTGGAAAAAGACACAAACCCTCATCGACGAGTTTGGAAGGTTGGATGTCTGGCGGAGCTGGGAGAGGAAGCACTTTCCTGAGACCACGGGGCTGCTGCAAAAGTGCCACTGGTGGATGGTCAGTGATCGTTGGGGACTTCGGCAGCGCAGGCCGGGGGTGCCGGAGCTAACGGTCACCACGCCGGAGGGGATGTGCTTTTGGTTACATGATCCGGCTGACAACGAGCGTTGGTCGTAAAGGTTATTGATGATGGATGGAGTTTATGGGGTTGGTATTTGGCTTTTTTCTTTCATTCACGGCATATTTGTCGAGCGAAATTGAATTTCTTATTGCTTCCACGTTCATTTCCATGTACCATCTGTGATTCGCATATTTCCTGAGCGTTAAAATGCTTCTATTGCACTCTATATACCTTTCTCAGCAACATGCTATGTGTCTTTCCTCCTTATTTTCTGTCTATCGTGAATCATTACGTCACAAGTAGGCAAAACAGCGGCCCTGGCGCATCCATTCCATTGACACACAAGTGAAGGGCATGGAATGCCGAGTCGATTGACTCGCCGAACCTGAACAAACGGACTAACTCGAAGTGGGTTCACCACGGCAACCAGGCGGTTGTGAATAGCCCAAGGTTCTGGGGCCGTGACAGCTGCCAGCATGGCTTCACCACCGGCAAGGTTCCAAGTTGGCATTACGGACTGACTGTTCGGAACCCGTCTCGGATCAGCTATAGGGCCAGTGGGCAAATTACTTTGCTGACCTTTTGCATTATCATTCCGCATCGCAAATTGAAGTTCGCTACTTTTACCTGCACAAAACTCCAAAATCATTTTGGACAATATTTCTATCCCGAAACAAACCCCTATCCTCTGTAAACATACATATCAGACGAGCATTGGTTACCTATCTTCATAATGTCGCTGGGTAAAGGTATGGATACCGGCTCTTACTCCCATTTCGCAGCCACTAACGATCTTGCAGTAACCCCTACGGTCGACAGCAAAGTTGACATGCCCGCCAACTCCGCTGAGGTTATCCCCTCGCCGAGAGACAACGGCCAAAGCGCCATCATCACTTCATCTGGGAATGCCCACTCCTACAGCTATGCTCTCACTGTTGCCGAGGTCATCGAAATGACCAAGTGTCTCAAGCTCGACAGCCCTACCGGCCAGAGCACGATCACGATCAGCGAGAACGAACATGCAACGACACCCATCGACAACAACACCGCGAACAGCGCCCAAGACAACAAGTCTTCTACTCCAGACAAAAGCGAGGGCATTGAGATTCGACAACAGGAAGTCGCTTGCACTCCTCCTCACAAGTCCGAGATGGAAGAGTAAGTCCTGTCCTATTCTCTCAGTTGAGCTCTACTTTTTTTTATTTCTCTGGCAATCTCTAACTCCTGTCTTCTTGAACAGCTCACGTACCGGAAGCACCTCCACCTTATCTACCAGCCACTCCTCAGCCAAAAACGACCCCAAACAGTCAGACAATCATTCCGTTGCAAGCACTCAACCCGTTGTCCCAACGATCTATCCTCCCCGCCGACGCAACATCTTTTCCAAAAGCGCCCCTCAGCGCAATGTTCAGTGGAGTAAAGAAGTTCTCGCCACTATTCCTACCAATGCGGCAGAAGACAGTGACGATGGCGAAGATGGATTCACTTTGCAGGAGTTACAGCAGTTTCAGGCGGAGGGAAAGGAGGATATGGAAAGGAAGACAAAGGGATTCCTGCGCATGGCTAGCAGTAACACCTGGCGACCGCGTAAGGTGGAGAATTTGGGAGAGCTGTTTGAAATTGAGGATTAGAGGGTCAATCCGGGGAGAATGTCAGGGAAAGGAGTTTAAAGCGAGGAAGGAGATGGGATAGTCACATACGGGTATGGGAGAAGTAGGACGAAAATGGGATGGGCCAAGTATGGAATCGATGGGAACTTTCTTGTGATCAAGTCAAACGGGTACGGCAAATGAAGCGAAGCAATGGTGTTATTGATTGACAGAAGTCAACCCGATCTTACTGAACATTACCTACCTACCTTGCATACACTACATCGTATTGCTAGAGATACCTCCACCTACGAAGAGGAATTCTCAAGTGCATCATCATCCATCTCTGCTATATCGCCCTAAGCCCTTGACAATGTAACGACCAAAGTGTTACCTTGCCTCTACGTATATCGCTGTATCCCAAGCCAACTTCGGTCTTCTTTCTTCTGATACTGTCACTAATGACCGAGTACCTAGTTACAGGAATATTGGATACCTCTGTGTAGTTTTATTTCTTTGCTGAAGTGATCCTGATAATACGTGAACATTGGCACCAACCCATCCCAAGGGCACCTGGGGGCTGAACTTTCCATCGCTGTACACCTGCCTGGCTCACAGACATGACACTCGAATTCTTTGGGTCCTCAACGAAGGTACCAGCATCAGAGGTTGCCCGGGCGACTGACAACCGCTGGTATATTTCTGAACACCAAGGTTGTTCATATTTGTCCACGACTGTCCATGGCCGTTGCCCATTCAACCGCTGTTCATGATGCTTGGGGCTGTTCAAAGTTGAGCAGACAGCCAGTTCTGAAGCTGGAGGTGCTATTCTGGAATAGTTTGTAAGCTCAGGAAACAATTGCTTCCTTTCCCATTTACATCTTCCCTCGACATCTCAAACCGAGCATCACAAATTTCATTTGCGAAAAACCTCGACCACATACCCCACCATCATCACATCTTTGCGCCAACAAGCGATCTTCAACATCGATCTTCATCTTTACTCTCCGGAACAAAATGTCTAACCACGCTTCCGCCAACCCTGATCGCTTCGTCGCCGACATGGCTTCCTTGACCGCCGATAAGGCCGACAACATCGCCACCGAAGATCATCAGGCCATGACTCCCACGACCACCGACATCGAGGCATATGCCCAAGACAAAACTCTTGAAGTCACCGACACCGAGGTTGTTGACACTGAGCCTCTTTCCACTGATGCAGTTGATGCTGCTTCTTCGTAAGTCGATACTCGAAAGATGATCCATTTTCATGTCATCTAGTATCGCTAACTCGTGGTGTCTTATCCAGCTCGACCAACTTCGCTTTGTCGACCTCGGCCAAAATCCCCTGGGGTAGCTTTAATACTGGCACCTTCAGAGGGTAAGTTATGACTTGAAGTCCATCACTACATATCTTCACCTCATACAGCAATCACTAACTCACTCTGACAGCCATGCCCCTCAAGCCGCCCCTGCTTTCACCGCTCTGCAAAGCACCCAGCCCATTCCGACCATCTACCCTCCTTGTCGCGCAAACATCTTCCGGACCCGCGAGAAGCACGTCCGTTTCCCTGTGTCCGGCTTGAGTGCGGTCGCTCCCCGTACTACTAGTCCCACCATTCAAGAGCTTGAGGAGGCCGAAGGATTTGCTGTGGCAGACATGGAGGAATTCCAGAAGGATGTCAAGAGCAGGATGGAGAAGAAAACGGCGAAGTTCATGGCCATGATGCGGGAGAACGCTTGGCAACAGCAGCGAGTGGAGGACTTGGGCGAGGTTTTCACGATCGAGGATTGAGTCCGGGGTGGAAATCGGTCGAAGGATGACATGGGTAACACATGTGGAGGAATTCGCAAAGGAAGGAGATCAGGAAAGGAGGAATATGGGAAGGAACAGTCAATGCATGAATGCAGTCACATGAGTGGGGTAGTGACCAAACTACCTTAGCAGCAATTCTCCTCCTCGTAGATCAATCAAACTCTACGTGCTGTCTACAACTTCTACCATACCTAGCAGATATGATATATAATGACAGTCCAGCGCCATTCTTCCTATAGCTTATTTTCCTCGATATTTTGTCCAATCGTTGAACCATCGTCTCTTTCGCCATTCATTGTGATCTCTACCTAACCGTGCTTGAATTAAATTATTTTCACCGTGAAAACGCACTCGACGGAAAAGGCACAAGGATAATGGTCATTGTATCGTATAATTTTACCCTTGCCAACATCAGGACACGATACTGAACAGCCTCCGAGTTGTCAAAAAGAAAAAAAGGCGCACCGGTCCATCAGCTGGTCGTATAGCCATGGTCAGTTACACCAATCTCTACGCGACAGATGGCTTCGACGACCGGCCAACATGATGGAAGTCGGGCGGCTGGATCTGGACAGTAGCCGTAGAGTGGAATAATTTGGAGTCTTTGACCGTAACTTGAGGCTCCTAGGCTTGAACAGAGAGGAGCGGGTTCTCGGAAACTGACGACTGCTCGCTGTACCTTGGACACGAGGGCTGTTCATGACTGTTCATCGTCCCTTATGGCTGTTCATCCTCGCGACTGTTCGGCTATGAAAAGATGCCTCGTTCACCACCTCAAGGTCCTGTCCTAATACAGACTGTTTATGAGGCCAGTAAACATTTCCTGGAGTTGCCAATTCCCTCTTTATTCTGCATCTCAAACCGGGTATCACAACTTTTACCTCCAAGTACGTCGACGACCAAAATCGCCAACGACCAACATTTATCATCATCCTTCTACCGGTCTATCCAGCGCAATATTCTTCATCTTTATTCGATATCCAACTCCCGCCGACGAAGACATGTCATCTCCGGCTGCTCAGAATGCGGACCGCGCCATTGGAAGCATGTCTCGTTTCCCGACCACCGCCGAAACCCCTGCCATCGACGCAGACCACAAGAACATCGGTACGGAAATCTTGAGTGACGAAACCCATGATTTAATGCCTGCTGACATGTTTTAGTTACTTCCGCTCAAGACGGAAAGATCAAGGAGACAGAAAGCAAATCCATTGGTAACCAGCCTGCCAATGTCGCTGATGTCCCCACCATCGACGGAGCTGCTACCGCAAGGTAAGACATTCTTGAAGCGCGGTTTCCTGATATATGGTCCAACGCACCACTCGAAACACCGGCATAATTGCCTCCAGCACCAAAACAACTCTGAGCCCACCTGCACGACCGTTGCGAGCACCCGACCTGTAGGCGTTTACTACCCCTCCCGTCGTCCGAACATCTTCAGGGCGCGGGCCAAGCATCTTCGGTTTCCCGAATTTGACCACAAGCCCGTCACAAGCGATGCCGTCGACAAGTCTGCAGGCGACATGGAAGAGGATGACGATGAGTTCACCATGGAGGACTTGGAGGAGCTTCAGTCCGCCCAGAAGGAGGAAACGGAGAAGAAGACGAAGAAGTTTGTGAGCATAGTCCAGCAAACCACGTGGGGATCTCGAGTGGAGGACTTGGGGACAGTTCATGAGGTTGAGGAGGAGTAGTTCAAGCGGCAGGTTTCCAGGGAAGGATCATGACGTACGGAAAGAATAGAAAGGAAAGGAGAGAAGGAGCGGAGAATATGATGGAACTCAGGGGATCTGCCAGATATCTTGAAACCATGAAGCTGAAGTATCCGGCATGCCGAAACATCCTTGTATCCCCTTTCTTACCTGATTCTTGCTTTCAAACTTTACTTCGAGTGACCGCCTTTCTTTCGAGACACGCAATGTGGCCAAAAACCATCCGTGGATACCCTGCCCGGCTTGCGATCACTTGTACAGTTGCATCGGAGTGTTCACCGAACAGCTGGATATGAACAGTGGTACCAGGGTGAAAAGCACTGGAAGCCGAACAGCGAGGGCCGGCCGACTGACATGAACTGACTGTACTGGATGTTCAAGGTTGTTCATGGCTGTTCATGGTCCGCAGGGCTGTTCAGGTCCGAACACTTTCCAAGTTCGGTTCTGTCGTGTGGTGTTTGTCCAATGTCGCAACAAAATCGTCCGAAGTCGCCAGGAATCCAGTGACAGTCGCCCATTGTCCAATGGGGTATTTAAATCTCGGCCCAGTCCAACCCTCCTTCCCAACCTTTCCTCCTCCTGCATCTCACAACGAAGGTCTCCACTTGCACCCAAACATCTGCACCTGCTCTTCTGCACACCTGCATTAAACTTTTGCATCGCACATCGATCTTCGAACCCATATACCCCATCCCTCTTTACCTTCAAGAAACTTTCGATCATGTTGGACGCTGTTCGCAAACATCGCGCCGCGCTGGCCTGCGCAAGCAAGCAGCAAGAAGCCATACTCGACATGCCTCTCCGCGACACCCACCAAGATGAAGTGATTGTCCATCATCGCGTCTTCTTTCCCCAAAGCGCCGATGAAACCAACGAGCCCCTCCTCGAACGTAGCGATATCGAGTTTTCAGGCGCCTCGAACAACTTCAAGCCCCAGACAATGCCCAACAAGGAGGAGACCGCACACCACAAAGTCCTTGTCCGCAACCTCGACAACCATGCCTTGGTTTCAGGTCGCAGAGATTATGCTCCCATTGTCAACACCTCGACTGCCGGACAGAACGAGGTCGTCGCCGTCGCAACAATGACCCAGGCCTTTTCAAGTCTGAACCTTACGCCGAACATCGAGCAGCCCTACACCGGCTCCGGCTATTCCCATGCCAGAAACGAGACCATCACGTAAGTTGATCCTTAACCCTTCCGTATCTGATCCTTCAATTGCTAACAGTCAAACAGCACCGCCATGCCGAAGCAGCTCTGGTCTACCACCCACCCACCGGCCTTGGCCAAACCCGCCGCACCCACTGCACAGTCGCTTTACGCCGAATTCCGAGCCGCCGAGTTGGAGCGCCGCAAGAAGCAACTCTACAACCAGAAAGTTGCCCTGCCCTGCCCCAAGGCACCTGTCCGCGCTTCGGGTTAGGAGCCCGAGCCGGTCAGAGCCACCGAGAGCTCGGCCAAGAAGCCCGACAACAAGGCAGCAACTACGGCTAGCACCAGCACCAGCAACAAGAAGGAGAAGTCGCCCAAGGACGTCGCAGCCAAGAAAGCAGCAGCATACGAGGAACTGATGCGCAAGTCGCGGGCTAAACGCAGCGCCAAGGCGCAGAAGGAGAGAGAGACGTGGACCAGCCACAGCTTGGTGGACAACAAAAGCCGCATCGACACGAAGATGAACAGGCTCGGAAAGATGGGCCATAGGGCTCGTCATCGGTGCACCTGGGAGCTGAAGCCTTTCTCTCTGGCCAAGTTTGTACTCGAGATTGACGAGCCGATCCCTTTGGTGATTTTGACGGATCCGGAGGGGCGCCGCCACTTTTTGGAGGACCCTGCGAACTATAAGGACCGAGTGACACTGGAGAAGGGAGGAAGAAAAGGAAGCTAGGGGACGCGATCAGGGAAAGGACGATGAGGTTCAGTTGTAGGAGTATTGTGACAGCGCTGGCAGCCAGCCACCCACATGTGGGTCTCGCCATCGCTCGTGCGACCAGGGTATTTTTATTTGGGTTTGCACGCTTGTATCTAGTTCTCTTCCTTTTCTTCTTCTCCCCATCTGAAATCTTCTGTCATAGATGAAATCTTAGCTTTGCCTTCGACTCCCCCATACTGTGCCCTTGCAAGTATGGAGGAAGGTCAGTGGACGATAGTCTTTTGTGGCTGGGTAGGGAACGCTAGGATCTTGGGCGGCATATTAGGAAAAAGGTCGAGTCAGTTAATTAGTCAAACTCTTTGGCCGCCACTTCTTCTCCGATACATGATTGCTCTGTGATTGAACTCTGAACTACTTGTGGTTCGTTGCTTCGACTTTGTTAATCATTTTCGCCTTAAACGTTCGTACCGTGAGCTTGCCGTTCAAAATTGACAAATGCCTTGGTATCTCATGAATGATTCTCTCTTCTTTAAACCTGTCTACATACGGACACAAGGAACGATTCGTGTCGAACCCAGCCCGTCCTTCTGTGCCAGATACGGTAAGTTTTACTTCTCTTAGGATGGAAGCTGAACACGACGGCCACCACAACTACGTCAGGTGCGGCCGCCGGGTTGCGCTGCCTGCCCAGACAGCTGGGCGGGCAATGTTCCGGCTCTGACTCCGGCAACCCCGCCGAGCGCATCGCGTCGCATATCTCTCTCTCTACCAACACTCTTCAACTTGCGGCCCCCATTTTCTTGGTACCTTGTCGACCACGGCGCACTTTCCCACAACTAATCCATCGCGCTGGTCCTATCTTCACAATAGCTGCAACAGGCGACAAAGACGCCACGCTACAAGGCACGCACCGATCCGAGTATTACACATCCGGGGTCATGGCCGATCCAAAGTGTTCCACTCCCCACTTGCTCGGTGTTTTCACGACGATATCAAACTAAAAAGCGGTACTCGACCTTTTGCAGTGGTAAAATCTGCTTCTGGACTCGCGGCGCGCCCTGCCATCAACTTCAGGATGACACATCAAGTGCAGAGCCCGGCCAAGGAGCCTACTTTGTCGGAGCATTGTAGACCAGTGACGAGGGATGAAGATGACCGCGAGGAGTGCGACGACGTATGTACAGAAGATATAAGCCTACCCACAAGGGGCAGCCCTCTTCCAGTCGTTGACTCTAGCTGTCCAGCCAACAACAAGCAGTACGGCGTCGATGGATATCGGCCAGGCGACAGTGCTGGCGTAAGCCACTATATGTATCCAGCTGGAAGGTAACTAAAATCCCCAAATGTCTCTGGCTGCCCCTCGCTAATTCCGATGCTTAGATGGGAATGTCTTCAGCACCACCCTGGCAGAGCTAACCTACTCCCAGGCCCACATCTTCATAAATCGACAACACACCAAACACGCCTGACATCGATTCTTCCAATGTGAAAGACGAGGCGACGGGCAACAAGCCTGTCGAGCGAGAAGATTTTATGACTGGAGAGGCCACCGGTCTGTGCTTCTTTTACAACGCTACCATTGACAGTACCGAGGGTTAGGAATCCAGGGTGTTCGATCCATGTCGTCAAATTTGTTGAGAGGCCCGGCATCGGGCGCAGATACGCACATCTAGACGATGGCTTGTGGTACCGCCTACACGAAGATGAGAGCTTAGAAGAAATGACTGCTCAGGAATACAGCGAGTTCATCAGCTGGAGAGTCGCTTCGCTGATGTCGCCTGACCCAAGCGACTTAGAACTCATTGACCAAACTGAAGAGTACGACACAGAAGAGCAAAACTCGGAAGCTCTACCTAGGAACAATCCAGACCGCGTCTCGTTCTTTCCCACAGTTTCACCGAAGGTACGAACGATCCTGACTACACAGATGACGCTGAATACACAGCAGAAGACGACGGACACGACTGGATCTTCGATTCCTTGACTGACGACTTCAGCATGGCAGACTTCCAGGAGATCCATTCGTCCACTTTGGATCACGTCAATCAGCAGCACAGAGATCTTTCAGTGGAACCTTTTGCACCCAACCGATAGGAGCCCGCGTCACGGAGCCAGACAGCCAGAGGCACCGAGATGGGTTCACCATAGCCTGGTCGACGAGAACGGCTTCATCATCACACACAAAAGGAGACACCAGCAAGAGGGCACAGTCGGCGGCAGCGTTGCAACGGGTTGCGCGCACCTACTTTGCCAGCCAAGACTAACTCGTCGGTCCCCGACGTGATCATGACGAGCCCAAGCGGAGGATCCTACTCCTTGCATGATCACATGGATTATGAATGAATCGATAAGTACTGGTAGGACGAGCAAGGGTTAACGGCCAGAGCATGACACCGAGCAGGAGATGGGTTAAGGGGACTATGCAGGACCAGCCACATGGTCCTCGTGGAGTTGGTCAATCACATCCTTACCTAGGTACCATCTCGGACAGAACCATGGACATATCACCACGGAGGGTCTGATGAATACCTGGGATAACTACGAGGAATACGTGGGAGGCCGACTAAAATATCGCTGCACTTGGATTCCGCTTCCGGTGCCGGAGAAGGATGAGGCGGAGGAGGAGGAGGAGGAGATGTCCACTGACATCGAGCAATCTTTGGGTAATGATAAAATGTCAGCCGGATCAATCCTGAACATGGTCTGGATGAGTCTAGAGGGAGGGAATTCTTCTTTGCACTATCCCCTCAACTCCGCGTCGCTGCTGCGGAGTAACATGGTGTAGTTGTGGGAATTTCGCTTCCGTATACTTACCTTATGCAACAGCCATCTCGAAGAGGGCAGATCGAGATATCACGTTACAATGTTGGACGGTTGGGACCCATTTCAAGCTGCTACGTTAAGCATTTGATCTAGGGGTGAGTCCTCTGTTACTCCCAATTCTTTTGTGCTTTTTCTTCTTTAGGGTTTTGCCGGTTTGATCACAGTTCAGGTGAGTGTATGAATGGCTAGGTTATAATACTCTTCGGTGCCGGAGAACTCTAACTCTGGCCATTGTGGTAGTGATGACGGGATGCTGTTGGTTTACGAGTTTCTGTGAATCAATGGGCTTCAATAACCTTCGACAACGCGTTACCTTTTCCCAGATGATGGGCGTGTCATCAAACGGATTAGGCGTGCAGTGGTGGGAATGAAGCCAAAGAAACTAGTCAAAGCCAATGTAAGCCATCTTCAGCTGACAAAGGCGTGAGATATTACGATAACGGTCATGATCTATTCAGCCTTTTAGGGTCCTGGTGAAGGAAGTAAGAGAGGATCGATCGCCTTGGTGTGATGTGTTGGGTTCTGGTATTTATTTGCGGTTATGCATTTCATCCCATCTGATACTATCCGATTCACCCTTCCTACTTCTACTGTTCATGACGTACCCTGAGTGTATTGCCTGCCCCAGAAAAAAGACGACGAAGGTCGGGTTCGGTCCACACTCACACCGGGCGGTTTCCAGGTTACTTTGCACAATCGCAATCCATTTTAAGAAGTGGAAGTTTCCGTTGCTCCTTCCTCCCCCGACCCAACTCTACTAATTTCTTTCTTTGTCGCAAACAAACTTTTTCTTCAACATTGCGCTCGCTTCAACTTCATTGAAGAATCGACATTGGCGACAGCTCATATTGACCCAACACCGCGCATTTCTCAAGAACTCCCCCGCGACCTTCCACACGACAAGCCAAAAAAATGGATTTATTTTTACCCTTTCTAGGTGTCTTCAGATCCCACGCCTTGCTTTCAGCTCGCAACATCTTTGTCGGAGAGCAAACCGCCAGCGCCACGTCCCCAGAGAGCGCCAGAACATATTGCGCTCCGTGGAGTGACCCCTCCCTGGAGTCTTCCGACTCCGACAGGCCTCGCAGCGCTACCATGACGAGCGCAAACAAACATGGCGCAAATGGCGATACAGGCGCAGAGAAAAAGGAGAAGAAAGACCGCAGAATGACACATGTCGGCGCGGACATCAGCGCGTTCAGGTCGGATGAGAGCAAAGTGAGGACGGACAGAAAGGGAACGACTGTTAAGTCCGACGACAAGATCGACGACGAGATGATTCTCGATTGTATCACCGTCAAGCCAAAAACCTTCCCACTCTGACATCGACATGACCTCCTCCTCACCTCCCGACGACAAGATCGACGATGAGATGATTCTCGATTGTATCACCGTCAAGCCAAAACCTTCCCACTCTTACACCGACATGACCTCCTCACTCCCGACGCAAACCTGGCTGCTGGCAGCCCAGTCAGCACCACGAGAAGGAAGTGGGCGGGACCGATTCCCGCCTATCTTTTTGACAGCGACACTCCCCCCGCGCCAGCCGAGCACGAACCCGTTGCTAGCAGCCCAAGAAGAGGAAGTTGGTGGCACCGATGGCCGGATCTCTGTTTGACGAGATTCACAGCCCATGCCCTACAAAGAGGCGTGTATTCAGAAGGTATTTGTGTCCTCCATGTCGATGCTCTCGTGTGAAGGTATAAACTGATTGCTAACCCACTTCTTTCTCAGTCCTCCCACAACGAACTCCTCTTTCAACACCCCCTTCAACACCCCCCCTCGCCCTCCCATTGCAACCGACAACGTCGACCCCCAGAACGACACCCCGACCCATTCCCCAATCAGGCTTCGCCTCACATCGCCTAAACAGATGGCCGTCTACAAAAGCAGACTTGACCGCGCCGCCTCGAGTTAGGAGCCCGAGGCGTCCAACAAGTCTGTTGAAGCTGAGACACCCCCGTCCAAGCCGACGAACGAGAAGACAGACAGACCCAGACCTTCGAAAGAAGGGATCGCCAACAAAAGAATCCAGCGGAGCGAGAACCGTCGCGGCAAGAGCAGACGCACCTCCGACAAGACCTGGGCCGATCTCAGTACCGTCGATAATAAGAAGGGGTTGCTTGATACCTTCGAAAACCAGAGATTGGCGACACCGGGACGCCGAAAGCAACTTTCGGAGTGCAACTGGGTGCGCTATCGGTTGTCCGCACTCAATGTCTTGATGCTGGGTGACTGGGCTATTGGACCAGTGCCGAGGTTGGTGCTGACGGACCCCGAGGGAAGACATTACGAACTGGAGGATGCGAGGTTTCCTACGCAGAGGGGTCTGCCTGACATCTGACAACGGAGGACAACTGTGGAGTGTGCATAACTGACTGAATACTACGGCAACTGTTCATGGGAGATAGGAGGGGATGAGAAGAGTCGACCTTACGCAGGAGAAGTGTCGACAACGAGAGACTGAAGAGCAAGCACCATTCCAAGGTGGAGAGGAAGGAAAACACTGACAGCATGATATTGGAATTATTGCACAAGCTGCCAGGTTTCCTTGAGAGGGTACCAGAGACAAGTACCGAGTGTGGATATTAGAAGAGAGGAGGTTTGGAGTCATTTGTTGGACGTTTGTTATTCATGAGAGGAGGAGCAGGGTCATCCATGCTTTTTGTTGCTTTACTAAGATTGTTTGTTACTTCTTTTGCTCATGAGATACCCTTTGTTTTTACATTACGATTCTGTTTCAAACTGATGGTCAATCTTAACTTTTTTCTACCTACTTTTCTGTTGTGTTGTATCGTCCCAGCTTGAAGCACCTCTTATCAAACCTCACCACTCCTGGCCGTGATTGCAAGGACCGGACAATTTTCCCAAGTTGCATGGATAAAACGACGGTGACACCCTTTGGGGGACCACCCAGGACAGCGTCTCATGGCAGAGCATCTGGAAGAATCCCACCGGTGGACCCATCTCACTTGAACAAGGTGAACCAGGCCTCTGCCTCTCGTTAATCCACCGTGGGGCAGTTCGCGTTATCTGGCAAAAAGGCCATTCACTCGATGGTTGCCAAGAGTGCCTCCTCCGACTCTGATACAAGTGAATGGTCTGTGGTGCTGGTAAATTGGCCCAGGTCCCGTCCCAAGTGAATGCGATCCGATGTCTGTCGGGCAGCCTGATGGCAGGTGTCAGCTGGCAAGTGGGAAGGTTTCGTTCCGGACCCGGACCATGTCCCTGTGCACCACTTATTTTCTGTGGTCACGATCGACTTTTGGTGTCTCTGTTTTTTATTTGCACCATTCCATTCATCAGCGCCGACATTATATACGTCGACCAACGACAAATCTAAAACAATCCCCTCTTCATTTTCGGACCATTTTCCACAGCAAGATGTGCTTTACGTACCGTATCCTCGAGCCGTTTGACTTGAACATCAATCAGTCAATGGTAGGCATTTCTCGTTTATCTTGGGTCGGTAAAATCCAAGCTGACCGCTGATGACACAGTTCTCTCCTGCACTGGAGAACGCCACCTCCAAGGCCCAAGTCGAATTCTCCTCGGTCTATGTGCTACAATCTACCCAGCCCGAGACCGTTGACATCCTCAAACACGGTCCCGACTCCGACCTCGACTCCTCCGACGATGAGTTCTTCGACGCTGTATCCAACATTGACTTGGAGTGGCCCACCACGGCGGATTAAGAACAGCTCAAACCTATTGAGGACGATTGGACCAAGGACGATTGGACCCAGGGCGACCAGGTTACTCAAGACTGGACCCAGGACATTCCGATCAAAAGCGACTGGATCTAGGATATTTGGGAGCAAGAAGACGCCCATAACGACCCCGACATCGCCACCAGAGCCGCAGACCACATCAACACCGACAATACCTCAGACAGCAACGATCATCCACTCGCCGGGCTACACTCCCAGCGCCTGGCCAAGAGCGACTGGACCGCACATTCCTTCATCGACAAATGCGACCGCATCGACATTTGGTCGCGACACACGGAGTGTTCTCTGACCCAGTGCACCTGGTGTATCTTCCAAGAGGACTGTGGTTGGCCCAAGCCAGACACTGACCCTTTGGTGCCGGAGCTGAGACTGACCACGCCGGAGGGGGCAGATTGTTGGTTGGATGATCCGACCGACTATGAGGCGCTGCCTTGGGAGAAGGAGGTTGCGGAAGTGCGAAAGGGTATTCTTAATGTCATTTCGTAGATTGGGGGTGTAGATTGTTAGAATTGGGGTCCGGAAGGAGGATTATCTTTGGAGGGAGGGTGCAGCTGTCTTTGCGGCTCGGAGGCATGTCGGAAGGTCGTGGGAGCCGCTGTTTGACTATTGGATGTTTTGTTGGAAGTAAAGGCGTGACTCTGTCTGTAGAGCAGTTTCTATCTCTCAGGTTTGTTGAAGCTCATTGCCGATATCTAGATATCTCTAGGTATTCGGCCATCATGTGACGAACCGTTACAAGCACAGGAGTATTATCGCTGGGATAGAACAATAGAGTAACAGTGTAGTAGCCAAAAGGTACTGGTAGATTGTGATAGCTATTGCTTGCTGAAGAACCGGTAACAACAGGCCGGGGAAGGCCTTCTTTTATACCGGTCTTCATGGACCCGATATACTGGACCCGTGGACCCGGGCTTAGGACCCGGGACTTCGGGTCCTCCCTTCGGGTCCGATCTGATTGGTCGGCTAGTCTAGTCTCCATGATTGGATCGTAACACATCACATGTCGAGATTGTTGGCTAACATGCGTTCCCGCCATGCACGCCCGTCTGCAGCTCAACATCTTGCAATAGAATTTTCGATACTCCGGGCTCCGTCTTTCCCTTGCCTTGTGCATCAACTTTTCAAGACATTTTTACCATGCCCGCCAGAAAATTTCCCAACCCACAGAGTCTTGAAATCTGGCCTGGGCTGGACATTTGGTGACTGCATGCAATGACATTGCCAGCATGCATAACATTACTGATCCAGAGACATTTCCTTTCATATCTATTTATTGCGGATGGATCTCCCCTCCTCCCCCTTCTCCTCTTATTCTTCTTCATCATCTTTACACTCCGCCTTGTGTCTTTCCCTCAAGCAACCCATCAATCAGACCTTTCTCTCATCATCCCCCACCACCCACGCATCTACTACTTGTCTACAGTACACGACTCATTCAGTACCATGGCAATGGGCGGCGACCCAAGCAAACTGATTGCCAAACCAGGCACAATATTTCAGGTACCTGACGAGCAAGCGAAGATCAGCACTTTACACAGTGACTTCGTATTTCGTGGGGTATATAGGTTGGTCGAATGGTTAGTGCTTTCACCAAACCTTCCAAGGGCTTCGTGATCGAGTGGTGTGACTGTTACGATCCAATCAGAGAATCCTATGTAGGCTAGACTAGATGACCAATCAGGTAGAACCCGAAGGGAGGACCCGAAGTCCCGGGTCCAGTATATCGGGTCCAGGAAGGCCGGTATAAAAGAAGGCCTCCCCAGGCCTCTTGTTACCGGATCTTCAGCAAGCAATAGCTATCACAACCTACCAGTACCTTTCGGCTACTACTCCATTACTCTATTGTTCTATCCCAGCGATAATACTCCTGTGCTTGTAAAGGTTCGTCACAGTGACGCGCAACTTCCGCTTGCATGACCACACCTGCGGGGCTTGGGGAATCAGCCTGTCAGTCGCGGGGATTCTTGCCAGCCTATGGCCCGTAGGTGGCTTGAAGCCTAGGCGTTGGGCTCCCGAGTAGTCCTTCAACCTGGCGTCTTCCGGCTATGCAAATAAGGTATCTACTCCTTTCCAGGTTGTGGATGTCCCGCCTTCGATTCACGTCGTTGCCATTATTTTGTTGGCTTTTGTCTTTTTTCTTCTTTTCTTTTTGGCATTGTTTGTTCTCGTTCCCCACCGCTTCGCGATAGCATAGCACAAATGACCGCCGATGTCACCGCCCGGTCCGGCCCGGGACACGGACCGGGACCGATGGAGAAAAACAAGAACGGGGAACTCGCACACCTACCCACGCCACGGTTCGATCCGGGCCCGTGGACAGATTTTGATCGGTCTTTGTCTGATTCACTCACTTACTGGTAAACACAAACCATCGTTGTCAAGACAAAGAGAGCGGGTATTGATACCGTTGGTTCGGGGCCTCCCTTCCCTTTGTCAGTGCTGTGCCGCAAACCATCAGCCGGCTGTACAGCGCTACAAGTACCGAAACGGCCTTGGCGGCCGGCGCTGGCGATGGTACGTTCGGGCTCGACATTCACTCCAAGCTTTGCGCGGTGACCTTTTGAAATGGAATCCACGAAAAATTCCAGAGGCTCGGTTACTCTGACAATGGTGGCAAGCTCTTATGCCGAAAACATTGGGGCTGTTCAGAGATCATGGCCATCGTCGACCACTGTTCGGACGGCTGTCCCGACAGCAGTTTGGACGAGTACAAGTGACCGATCTCTGGACACTTGCCCTGTTCGGACGAACAAAACGGATCTGACCAATCACATGTAATACATCCACGAAGTCGCTGGACGCACGAGCCAGCTTCTGTGGCTGTTCTCTTCTAACCACCACCAAATCATCACCACCACAACAAACTGAATACCTGTTCAGTGATCACCATATAAACCCAGACAATATGTTCATCTATCACCATGTCAGCAAGACATCCAGGGTCACCAGCGACAGTCAATCTGGACCTCTGGGCTGGAGGTATAAGAATTCCTCTTTTCACCACAGACCAGTCCCAGAACTTTTTCCTTCTGCATCCAGTTTTCGGACAAGCATTATTTTGCACACAACCGATCTCAACCCAAATTCTCAACACATCTCATTACCCCTTGAGACCTTTTTTCAGGTAAAATCCTGACGAGATGACTTACCCACGCTTCACCTTGGGCTTCGCCCCCTTTTCGACCACCTTCCCGGCCTTCCCGACCAGCAACGTCGTCAAGGCTATCGCCATTGCTTCGTTCGCTGCCCTGTCGGTCAACGCCCTACTCAAGACGGTCAAGCCTTCGCAGGCCGGCCACGAGCATAAGCAAAAGACCAACGATGAAAGGTATGTCGACGCACTCATACTACTTCTGCTGAAGACATCGATGCTAACGATCTCGCCAAGATTGTCGAGGATGCTGAACCCTCCAAGCGCATCGAAACCACCAGTATCAAGACCAATACCACTCATCGCATCGAGAACAACCAAGCTATCGATACCACTCAAGTCGCCACTGCTTCGAAGATCACCAATCTTACCGAGGAAGTCAAGATCGCCGACGATGCCGACATTACCCATGTGACCGACAGCACCCACCTCGCCAACGACATTAAAGTCGCTACTGGTGTTGAGGAAGCTGAAGCTGAAGAGCCAATCTTGCACCATACTCGCAAAGAGTCTACCGAGTTAGTTATCCCAAAAGCGATTTCTCTCTGCGATGAACAAGTACTAACTTCAGGTAGGACAAACTTCTCAACCCAGTCCGCTCAAACTGTCGACAGCGAGTCGTCATCAACTGCACCCAGCACTCCCGACACAGTTTACTCTGTCCCAGATGTCAAAGCCGCCAGCCAGCTAACCCCGATCTGCGCCAAAAAGCTTGAGGAGGATGCCGAGCCCACTCTTCCAGTTGTCATCGTCACTGATGAGGAGGGTAAAGAGTCCAAAGCGGAGGAGATCGTGCACTCCGCCCCCTTTGGCATCGCCGCCAACCAAGTCATCTTTTCCGCCGACCACCTCAGCCCTTTCGCCACCAAGCCGCCCACGCCTGCTTGCGCCCACAGGATTCCGTCCCATTGGTACACTTCGTCCCACTTGCTTTCCCAGGGCTCGATCGATCTGGAGACTGCTAATGTCATCGACCGCCCCGATAACGGCGTTGCATATGCCCAACTTGAAGACAACTTGTGGTATCGTCTGGATGAGGCTGATGATGCCCTTATGATGACACAGGACGAGTACGAGGACCTCTTGGCCTGGTTTGACAGCTTTAACCAGAAAAAGGGGGAAGGAAACGAGTTATTGGCCGAAGAAGATCCGACGAGCTTCATCACCGACCAGCAAACTGATGCCAACAACACTCAGGACACCTCGAAGACCATCACTATCACCGATTAGGAGTCGGAGATACTGGATACTCGAGAGCTTTCAGAGTGTGGAACCAGGCACGCCCTGCTCAGCAACGGGCATTGGTACGTTCTCCACGAGGACTGTGAGACTGCCATCCCCATGTCCGAAGGCGCGTACGAGAAGTTCGTGATCTGGCTTCGCGAGAAGCAAGCCGAAGAGGCTAAAAAGATCAAGCAAAAAGGGGACAAGCGGAAGGCCCCGGGTCTGGACGCAATTTGCGAAGAAGATGAGGAGGAGTTGGCCTAGGCCGAACAGGCGGCGGAGGAGTACGTGGTGAAGAAGTGGAACAAGTGGGGCTTGTACATTATCGAGGAGGGAGACGAGTAATAGGAAGATGATAATCCGATGGCGAGAGAAGGGATTGACAAGATATCGATTCGAGGGTTATTGCAAAGGAATGGTTAGATAAGAAGGAAGCAGCTGGTGGAGGAATCATATCGGGAATTTTCTTGATTGCCGGGGATTTTCTTCCATAGAACGGTCTACACATCAATTTGACTGCTGACACTGCTATACTTTGACCCCCAAGTGATTACTACAATGCTTTGAATGACGAATATGCGACATCTTGCTTACCTTGCTTTGCCCAGTTTATTTATTTTCTGCCCTGTTGTCGTGACCCTAATATGCCGTAATTCCGTGAAGAATCCTCCGTGACAAGTTTCTGTTTCTCAGGTTTGCCGCCCCTACAGATTAGGCGTTCATGTAAATGTATGTGTTGCCAGTATAGTCGAGAAGTGTATTTGAACATGTTGAGGATGTGTTCCATTACCGTAAGCATTTTGCCCGAAAATCGTCGTTGACCTGGGCGTATCAACTTCGAGCGCTCGCCGAGGACACGATGTGGGGGTTCGCCTGGCCCGGCCAAGAAGGTCAACAAGTGGATCGCCCGCAAAAATGACGAGCTTTGGACCAGCCGAAAAGAAAGTTGCGGATGGCACACAGATGGATTGTGGAGGTCTTGTTGCTGTCAACCAGGGAAGTGATGTCAATGCAGCCCAAGTCGTGGCTTTCAGCAAACCTCACAGACTGGAAACTGCGACCGACATGTGCATCCCTTCTGATGCAGATTCTGATCCCCCGCACACATGCGCAAAGCTCTCCAACCGGTACTGTTAAGTCATCCAAACAATCTCTCAATTCCCAACAGGCCGGTACCAACTTCACCTTTTTCCAGGACCAATGATCAGCTTGGATGAGACCTCCGGCAAGCCGCCACCACGGAGTCGGAAGCGATCCCGGAACGCCGGACCCGATCCATCCACTCGTCCCGCGTTGATTCCGTCCCGCAATCAAGTCCCGACGGCAGGCTCGACGTTGAAGTTTCGATCACCACTTTCAGCGAGCACGCAACAGCTAACATCCAAGCGTCTTCAAGCCTACAGGAATTTGCCATTCCAACCATGGATACGCTCCCGACCTTAAAGAACCTCTACAACTATGGCGACATGGTTGAGTCAGGAGGAAGTATTGGACCGAAGCTTGGAACTCAAGATCGTCACCACCATCATCTTCATGGCCCGGCCATACCAACCAGTACGACAACTAAACTGCGTGGTTGGTATCTCTATATGTTCGATGACATGCGGAAGAAAAAAAATTGGCAAGCAGATGGTGGAATCGGAGGACGAAAGGTACTTCGCTTGGCTGGAAGACTGGCTCTTCTCCAGTAGAGAACGAGAGCAGCTCATCAAGGGCAAGGTAATTATCAATGGGATTGCCTCACAGTACGAGGATCTTGGAGGAGAATGGAAGCAATGACAATCTGCTTGACCAAACTCATATATGCAGATTCCTCACGTTCTGACTTGATAAGAGCTGCAACTATCCAACATGGCCACATCATAGCATTGTTGCTTGTATAACTTTATTGCTATGTACAACATGAACTCCCCTAGTTCGCTCAGTGACCCAAGTTTGTCTGGCCTCCTTCTTCCTGTGTGGAATTTCTTTCGAACAAGCTGAGACACGAGGCGATTGATCAAGTATTAAGGCAGATGCACTGGAGTAGATCTTCCTACGTAGTCCAACACTCGAATTATAACCCACGAGATAAGGTGAAGGGTATCCGGATGTCCTTTGTATATATACATTGCTCTCCATCAACTTCTACATTTGCCGTATTGGACCCCAGGGCCGTGGTGATATGAGGTGGTCGCCCTAGCGTCTTTCACGCACACGACTGGAGTCCTTGTTTGTCGTATAGCACGAGAATTACGGCTCGCCTTGGCCAGCATCCTAATGACTTTCAAGATATTTGAAGAGCTTCAGCCATCTGTAAGACTGTTCAAACTGTGCTCCGGGACCCAAGTATCATCCATGGACAGCATCACTGCTCAGGGCCGATGTTTAATTTTCATCGACAGTTGCCCGAGTAACGAGCATGAACACCATCGCTATGTAAATTGACTAGCACATCCCACCAAGGTTGAGCGTCGCCAATGGCTTCACGCTCCCGGCCACAGTCAACCTGATGGGGGATATAATGGGCAATTCCATTCCCAATCCTATCCTAGAGCTTTTACTCCCTCATCCAACATCAGGACTCCCAATTGTACACTAATTTCATCGAGAGGCAACCTCACCCTACCCCAAAATAAACACACATCTCTCATCAGGAATATCACATCCTTCTTCCTTCTTCCTTATCATCACCATCATCAACAACGACATCATGTCTTCCTTCCTCTGGCCTTCGGACTTCCGTGCTTACAAGTACCGACTCTCCCTTGCAACCATTGCCGACGCAATGAACATCGCCGATTGTGCATTTGTGCGGATCTCGTCACTCCTAAAGGTAAGTAGCCCTCTTCTGACAATGAAAGTGTCGACATTAACCATACCTAGGAAAACGATGAGGCACACAACCACAACGCCACCTTCTCCCTCGATGTCGCGGATGGGATTACCAAGGACGTTGAGCCCACCAATGCCGCTCAAGAGATCCACCAATGTAACCCCACCCCTCCCGCCAGCGTCGTCGAGGAGTTGGCGCTCACCATTCTCATTGCCGACGGCCGCGACGACTCCTCGATCTCTTCTTCCGATACGGAGACTCGTGTCTACTCCCATGTAACTCCCATTACGGACATCTTTAAAGACGAGCCCACGTCTTCCATCACCAATCTCCACGACAATCCCTCGACCTTCTCTTCTGAGGTCCACGCCTACTATCATTCTGCTTCGCTTGTCGACTTTGTTGAGATCAACACCACTTCCGCCACACGCAGCAATGTTGCAGAGCCAGTCGACGACCATGGCGTATTTGTCGGCAGCGTCGACTACAACGAGTTTAAGCGCTTCCTGGATCAGGACCGGATGTGGGGTATTCATCGCCCCGCGACTTACAAGCCCTTGATCCGTTCTTCGAAGGCAGCCCAGAAGAAAAACGTCCTGCCGATCGTGAAGTCGGATGAGAAGAAAGAGAAGAAAGTCGCGGCCAGCCACATTGTCTCCACAATTATCAATGCGCCGGAAGGAGCTGCCGATGCCCCTGCATGCACCTCATCCGATGTTCAGAAGCCGGATGACATTACCTCTGAACGCGTAAGGAAGCTGTCGACAGAGTAAGTTATCCCGTCCACCATAGCTCCCCCTATTTGCAAGATAATGAACTGAATTTTCGATAGCACCGACACCTCGACCGAAACTCGCCAGACGGCCGAAACCGACAATTCTACTAAGACTACTCGTGCCCCGATGCTACCGGTACCCCCTTGCCCGAGTGCGATGCCGAACCGCAGACTATCCCGGCGATCGTCCTCACCAAGCCGACCGAAGACTCACTCGAAGACACGGAGAGCAAGCTGGCTGTCGACTCCAACTACGGCATCCCTACCAAAGCGCAACTGCCACCTTTTTCCAGCGTCTACGATTACGGCTACATCAACTTCACACAAGAGTATCTCAAGGACCTGTGGATCATGACCGTTCTGCAGCAACCCGGATACCCTTTCCGGTATGCCAGGTTCAACTGCGGCTTCTGGTACATCCTTGAAGACCGCAAGAACGTGCGCATGATGGTTGAACAAGAGTACCAAGAGTTCGTACAATGGATTTCCAACAATACCGCTACCGTCGCCATCCTGGCCAAAGCACCAGAAGTCAACCCCAACAGCCGCCCAAAGCATCTCAGTCCAAAATGGACTCCCAGACCCGCGGATTAGGCATCCAACGGCCTTGAGATCCTTGAGAATGCCAAAGAGGAAGAAGATGAAGAGGAGGACTGGTCGGGACTTCTTTGCTGGAAAAAGAAGTACGAGCTAGGCAAAGGCTGGGCCGTTATCAAGTCCTTTAATCACCCGGTATTCGTGAACAGGAAGTACATTTTGGGAAACGACACCAAATGGTATTTTGAGTATAACGGCTAGTACCGCCGTTTGTTGGAAGACGAGATGGATCTGCTCATGAGCCGGTTGGACAATCAGAAGGGGGCTCTGACCAAGGGTGTGTAGGAGGGTCCAGTCCGGTGCTGAACCGTCGGGGGCTTGAGGCCATCACTGAGGAGCAGGAAGAGTGACGGATACCACTACGCGGAATGCCACAGGATGGAGAAGGGCCATTGGTCCGGGAAGTAGGTCATGGGACTACCAGTGGCAGGGTTGGAAGACAGGGTCATGGACGGATCAGGCTGAGAGGGGGGACAATTAGGGAATGAAAAGCTAGAAACCATCAACTGCCTGAATTTCCCCGTGGCTGATAAGTGATTGTGACTTGCTTGACCAGTGAATGTCACTCTTGTGTATCGTAATCGTTCCATTGTGATGTATGTTGCTGATAAGCGGGGTCCGAGTAACAACTTGGTTTCTCATGGGGAGAAGGCTGCTTTGGTGGACAATGTTGTGAAGCGGCCTCACGTCAACGTAGTGGGACTTGCCTGTCCTTGTCGAGGATTAAAACGAGGAGGAGTGATGAACAAGACACTGGTGCTGGAAGATAGGATTAAACACATGGTGTAAAGAATGGACACGTAAGATAGTCAGGAGAAGGACTCTGGGACAACAAGTCAAGGAGCGACGGTGACAAATAGACTTGTCTCGTAGCACTGGGAGCTAGGGGTTGGATTGAAGGCAGTCCAGGTCTGGATGTCCAATCCCATGTATCGATATTTTCCGTCTTCACGTCATTGATTGATTTTATTTTGACTACCTAGCATTACCGTATTATCGTGATACTTGGGGTTCTATAACGAGGTATATTTACTGTGCCTGAGTTCCTCCATCTGGCTTGGTGACTACGTTCTGCTTGCTCCACTCATCCTTCCTACTTCAAGCTTCCTTCAAACCAGCCTAGAACATATGAAACTGAGGGGATCATGTTGCAAGGTAATTCACAAATTCTTTCGGTGTTCGGGACAATATCCTTTCCGTGGTTTCTCATTGACACTTTAATTCATCTGTCACAAAAAGCTAGCATGAATGTTTTTGATTCCGCCTTTTCGATCTATCAAGAACTAGTATATCCCAACCGTCTTGTGTTGAGCTTGATGTGTCCTGATCGAGACGTGAAACTGATGTTCTTGTCGCCGACAATGCACACGCTGAGATGTTTTTCGTTTCTATGGACTTCTATAGAGAGCTTATTCCCATGGCCTTCCTCGTACCGCACTTCACAAGATTGGTGGCATGACATTGTCTTGCAATGTACCGTGCGCGTGGGATTGCAGTCCCTGTTCAGCGTACACCACGAGAATCACTGCTCGCCGCGAACAGCACTTTAATTTTGCAGTGTCGGAAGAGTGTCAATCACATGTTCCACTGTTCAAGAACGAGCATGAACAGTCTTGCTGAACGAGCATAAATAGTATTGCTGAACGAGTATGAACAGAGTTGCTGTGTAAACATACATGCACACTTCATCAAGATTGAGAGTCGCCAACGGCCTTACGGATCTAGCGACAGCCAACCTATTCGGGTGTATAAGATGGGAATTTCCATCCCCAATCCTGCCCTAGAAATTTCTTCTCCCTCATCCAAAAATCGGACCTCCAAATTGCATCGTCAATTTTCTCACTCATCCGACAGTAACCCAGACACTCATCATTCGTACTTGACATCGACACTCATCATGTCTTCTTTTCTCTGGTCTCCAGGCTTCGGTGCCCACGCCTACAAACTCTCCTTCCCGACTATCGCCGACGTGATCGACATCGCGGATGCTTCCTTCATGGCGCTCGCGCTGATGAAGCTCTCGACCCAACCCCCTACTACAAGCAAGGTAAGTATTCCTTCTCCCGCAACTCAGTATACCGACTAATACTAGCTCAACCCGGATTCCTAAGCAGCTGAAGAGTGTCGACACAGCTCTCCATGTCCCAGCCAACGTCGCCAACCAGACCGCCAAGATTTCCGAAGCGATCTGCGCCATCGACACTGCTCAAGAGGTTACCACGGGCCTCTTCATCAACCCTTCCATCGTGATCTCGGACGCCGCTCTCACTAGCATTGGCCATTCATCCATGACCGAGAAGGTAAGCATGATTTACCAAATCTATGGATTGCGGTTGTCATACTAACGATACCTTTTTCCAGATCATCGAAGTATCCGACGACAACACCGCGATTTCCCTCCCTAATGTCATCGTCGAGATCCCCCAGAATAACAAAGTCTTCCACACCGCCGCTGACCACTGCGCCGGTACCGACATCGAGAGCACCTGCGATGTCGACAGTGCCCTCCCTGTCAACACCATCGACAACGATTCAGACATTACTGGTACCACCGATACCGCTTTCCATTCCGTCGGTATTGAGATTGAGAGCATCCAAGTAGTCGACAGTCCTTTTCCAGTTTGCCTGGCCCTCGACAAAACTCGCCTCATTGATTTCGCCGAGGCCGACATGAAAGAAGCTGATCCCTACTGCCATGAGTCGCCGACCCTATTGGTCATCGAGATCAAGGACACTTTCCACTATGCCGACGACCAAGGCGCGTCTGCCTCGACCGAGCATTACAACGACTTCGAGCGCTTTCTCGCCGAAGATCGGATGTGGGGGATGCATGCTCCGGATGAGAGGGTTAACAAGCAGACTACCACCAACAAAAAGACCAAAGATCAAGCAAAGGAGATTGCCGTCAACAAGTTGAAGGCTTCGATTCACAATTTGAAGGACTTGGTTGAGGTCAACAAGAGCGCTGATGTCAATGCGGCCAAAGTCCACGTTCCCAGCAACCCTGCAGGTGCGATCGACAAGTGCATTCCATCTGATACAGATACAGATCTCCCCGCTCGCACGCGCAAGCTTTCTACCGAGTAAGTCATCCGAAAATCTTTGTAATTTGGACAGGTGAGTACTAACTTTTATCAGGACCAGCAGCTCGGATGAGACAGAGGATACCGTCACCAGGGAGCCAGCGCAAAGCGGTACTGATACCCCGGATACGGTATATTCGTCCTCCGATTCCATCCATCAAGCTGATGACGAGTTCAATCATTCCATCATCCTGGAGATCATCGTCACTGAATCGACCGACATCTCGAACGAAGATGCAGCCCCGACCAAAACCTCTTCGACTCCCGACTTCGTCCTCCCCACCAGAAACACGCTCCCCACCTTCGAACATCTCTATGACTACAGCAACGCGACCCAAGAGAAACTGAGCAGCCTCGCCATCGTCATCAAAATCTCGCGCCCCACCAACACCAAGCAGTATGCCCTGCTTAACTGCGGGAATTGGTATCTCTTCGAAGATGGCGCAAACGTCAAGCAAATGAAGGAACACGAGTACGAGGCCTTCTTCCTCTGGCTTGAGGAGACGGAAACCCCCATCTTCGCCCAACATTACGTTGACGTCGACGAGGAGGAGCCGAACACAAAAGTACCAGGGGACAACAACACCAACAGGGACAACGACGAGCCGAACACCAGCCAACCCGAAGACGAAGAGAACACCCCTCCCAAGTACCTCGACCCCAACTGGACTCCCAAGGCCGTGGACTAGAACTCCGCCGGCCTGGAGACCCATGAAGATTATCCCGAGGATGCCGATTATGTCGCTGAAGCCGAAGAGGAAGAGGAGGACAATGATGACTGGCTCGACATCCCTGAGTGGAAGCAGCGTTACCAATTGGGCAGAGATTGGGGCATTGTGAAGTCCTTCAACCACCGCGAATTCACTGATCGAAACTATGTTCTGGGAACCGACAATATGTGGTACTTTGAGTATAACGGGAAGTTTCGCGGTCTGATGAAGGACGAGCTCGATTTGTTCAACAGCCAGAGGGTTAGCTTGTTCAAGAGCCGGATGGAGGCCAAGGGCCGGGATGTGATTGGAGCGATGGTGGAGCAGCCGGTTACGGAGCGCTGGGGACTCACTACAATTGTCGAGGAGGAAGAAGACTAGGTAATAACCGGAAGGTATGTTGCAAGATGAGGAAGGGCAGTCGTCGGTGGGGGGGGGGGGGGGGGG